AGCTCATCAAGGGCAGGGACTGTCTTTTGCCTTTCTGTGTATTCCCAACACTTAGCTTAGTGCCTAACATAGTAGGTGCTTAATAAATTCTTATTGAGTGACTAAAGCCCTGCCACCCCCATTTGTAGCTGAGGAGAAATGCTGAATGTGTACTTGTTCTGGAGATGTAATGGGGGCTACAACTCCATTTACAATTACATCAGTAATCGGTACATGGGCTTGTGGGGACAGAACTGGGCAGATAATGAACAGAGCTCACTAGATAGGGCTTTCCCAATTGCTTTGCCAAGGACCCAAGTCCTTTCTGTATTTGTTACTACCTTAAGTAAACTTAGTATTTAATTCCTTTATTATTGTCAGTGCTTGCAGGTGAGCTATGAATTCTTTCAGGGACCAATTCTGGTGTTTCCACAGGGCAAACCAGAGTTTATTATGAAAGAAATGTCTCCAAGATTTAACCTAGTCTGCCATGTTAGACAAATGCTATATGTGGTCTGAGTCAGGAGTGGGGAGGGGGAAGGGTTCAGGGAGGGCTTCTTGGAGCTAAGTAAGCAGGAATTCTCTCAAAGGGCAACTTAGGGGCATGTGTTGATGGAGAAAATTGACAACAGACTTATGTGGGAAACTGCATTAACTTTCCTGGTTTAATTGTTATTTGTACTTTCCCAGAGAGTCAAGGAGAAGAGAAGAAGCAGTATAGCCCCAAGACCCTGGAAACGCTTCCTAGTGGTCCTGGTGGATTGGAGTTTTGCTTGGCCCCAATGGTAAAAGTCCTCCCACAGGGAGCCTCACAAATGCTGAACCACTAAATGTCTCTCCATTTCAAAAGAGGGAGCTTCAGTCTGAACCAGTCTGAAAAATAGAAGGGGTTCAATTCAATTCAAGTCAACAAGCATTTGTCCTTGATGGTCTCAGAGTTTCCTTTGAGCTGTAAATCCTATGACTCTATTCTTGTCCAGCACCAGCCAAACTCCTGCATTTTCTATTGGTCACCAGGACTGTGACCGAGACCAGCTGGAGTAGGGGAGGGGGGGCTCACTTTGCCTTTTAAATGGCCCTCTTTATGCTAGGGAGGAGGGGAAAAGGAGAGATTTTGCAGATACTCCCTTTTTACAGCAGCAATAACCCCATTACCAAAGGCTTTTGCCCAGTGTCCCCAAATCCATTTTAGGGCAGCCCCCTCCTTTTTTTCTCCTGTTTGGCCAATCTGGTCACCCTGCTGTCAAGTCTCTTCCTCCTCCTAGATACACATCCTGATTCTCCTCATGGAGGTTTCGATATATGGCGGTTAGGCATAAGAAATGAAATGCAAATTCTGGGGAGTTTTTCGGAAGCCATAGATGACACACGAAGGCCAACAGACGAAACAGAAAAAAGTTTAGAAACTCAGAAATACATAAAACATTTGCACAGTATTGTATAATATCGAAATGTTTTATCTTTTAATACCACAATAATTCAGACTTCTCTGGTACGAAGGGAGGGTCAAACAACTTTATGAGGATTTTCCAGATCAAGGCAGGGAGTGGGATGGAGGGGGAGGAAGGTGTACCCCCGAGGAGGGTAGGGTGTGGGGAGTGCCCCACTCCTAACCCCGAAGATGTGGAAAGGATAACTGTACTGAAACAAACTAACAGTAATGGGAAAAGCCATAACTGTGTCAGGAAACCTAGAGTTGCAATTCCATTTCTGTGACTTGCCAGCTCTATCTCCTTGGTGAAGTCACTTCTGCCTGAGACTCAGTCTCCTTCTCTGTAAACTAGATGATCTCAAAGGTCCCTTCCACCTCCAGGATCCTATGAATCTTTGGAGACCCAGCTTTCTGCCCTGTGAGCCTGTTTAAATAACTGTCGAGGTACACATGTGTGTCCTCCCTTCCCCGTATTGGGGGGTATTAGGGTGGGAGAGGTGTCCACCTTGAAGTTTCCTTCGTAAATCTTAAGTGTGTTTGTGTATCTTAACTTTAAATTGGCCAGCCTAGTCAGGCATCCAGCTTTAGGTACATTGGAGGTTTGGCCTTGAATGCTGCTCATCGAGTCCTGCCAGCAGCCTGGGGGAGGGGGCCTGCTTGAAGGCTTCACTGAGCCTTAGGGGTTGGCCTGACCCAGCCAAGGTCTGAGCAGCTGCAGCTTGCCGGCCCCAGGGAGGGAGAACAGCAGACAGAAGCTCTTGGCCTTAGCCTTCAGCTCTGCAGTTTGGCAGCTGCTCCCCAGGGCCGTTGTTGCCTTTGCTATGTGTCTGTCCCATCGTACCCTCATTCAGCAGGCCAGGAGAGCTGGGAGCCAAGGGCAGCCTGTACCTAGCAGTCCTTGAACTTAAGGCAGAATTGTCTCCTTAATCCATGAGCTCTACCGTGCTGTTAGAACTGGGCAAGATCTGCCTCTGAGACTGGGCTTCTTACAGGCCTGGGGCTCTTTTCATTAAGCTGGGCTACAGTAACCCAGTATTTGGAAAACTAAATCAGGACACTTGGCCAGGAAAAAAAAAAGTGTAGATAATCCTTCTTTGCAAAACCTCGTGGGGAAGTATATTTCCTGACTTATATGAAATGATACAGACTGAAGAAAGGAACAGAATGTCAACATATATACCAACTCCAACTGGCTAAACAGACAACAGCAACAAAAATCACAAAGCAAAAAGCACGGGAGAAAAAAGAGGCCAGGAGGGAACAGAGGAGTAAAGAGGGTTTTGTTATTATTTTGTTAAAGTTAATAGACACATTTTTAAAAGAAATTGTAAATCATTTGGCATTCATGGTTTGGATGCAATCTTTTAAAAATTTTCCAAAGTTAATTAAATGTTTTATTGGTAGAAAAAAGGAAAAGTGAATAAGAATGAATGGACCCAGGATCTTGAGAAGGACTTCTGGCACTGGTTTCCAAACTTTGTGAAGTAATGCCTCCTCCCCTTTTATACTTTTCTTTTCTTTTTGGTGAGGCAATTGGGGTTAAGTGACTTGCCCAGGGTCACACAACTAGTAAGTGTCAAGTGTCTGGTCTGAGGCCAGATTTGAACTCAGGTCCTCCTGACTCCAGGCCTGGTGCTCTATTCACTGCGCTACCTAGCTGCCCCCCATTTATGCTTTTCAAAAACAATCTAAACAAATAATTTTCCTAGCTCAAATTTATTCAAATAGAATTAATACTTTATTACAATTCTATAACACATTTTAACTTTTGAAAACAATAGCACAAATTTTTATTGAAAAATCTTTATTTCCATGTTTGTTATTTATAAAATAACTATATTATTAATGTAATCAGTATGCTTATTTCTCAAAATGTGTTATATTGATGATATTGCTACTCATAATTCTTTTTCAATCACTGATCGAGATCAATATTTTGCCTCTATAGCAGAAAACTCCCATTTCATATGTAACTAATACAGAAACTGCCTCTTGTCTACAAAGGGCTGGAGGGGATCAGTCAGTCAGTCAACAAACATTGGTTGAGCAACACTCCTGTGCCAGGCACTGTGTTAAACAAGAGGGTTGGGGCAGCTAGGTGGCTGTCAGGAGCCTTGGAGGTAGCTTAAAGTCAGGAGGACCTGAGTTCAAATTGACCTCAGATACTTGACACTTACTAGCTGTGTGACCCTGGGCAGGTCACTTAACACCATTGCCTAGCCAAAAAAGCAAAAAAATAAAAAAAAACATGAGAGGGTAACAAAGAAAACTAACACAGATTTTTTTTTATCATTGTTTCTGGCTCTTTACACTCTTGCCCCGGAGCCCTGATGAGAATTACTTTAAGTAATTCTTAAAGTTTAGCTTTGGCTCAGGTGGCTTTCCTCAAAAAAGGGAAGAGAAGGTTTTCTATGTGCAAAGTAGATCAGGCATAGGACATCTATTTATTTCTTCCACACAAGAGAAATGTTTACATAAGGGTCTTGAAAGATCTTGACTTAATTCAGAAAAATGGGCTAATAATTAGGTAAAATTGTAACCAAGCCAGGTGATCCTTTTGTGAGGTATGAACAAGTCAATTGACGGAATTAGAAAGGGACCAACAGGATGAAGAATGCTAGGACACACCTCTGGTTGAACAGTTCAGTGAGTCCAGGAAGTCAAGCTTGAACAGGAATCTAGATCCTGACAAGACACATAGAAGACACATGTAGTTAGAGAATGGGAGGTGTAGAGCTGGAAAAGGTACAGTTAGAAAAGTGGAAGCATTAGTAGAAGCAGCCACTACGAATAAAGGGGCCAGGACTCTGGAGGTGAGGCTGTTTAGGCTAGGCTGGAGGAGTTTAGGGACAGATACTATGTTTCTTAAAGTCCCCCTTTCCTCCACCACTAGCACTCCTTGCTACATACCGGATATCAACAATCATCATCTCCTTCCTCACTTCTCACCTTGGGTTCTTCAGGGAAACCTAAAGCCTTTCCTTCTGGGCAGAGAGGAAAGTCTGTTTATCTTCCTTTGTTTTAAAGTTTACTTTGTCTTTATAAATAGTGTTAACCACAGGCCTTTGTTAGTCTGTGTGTACTTACTGGAAATAATGGGGAGGAAGCTGTTGAAGGTGAAGCATCCCCAGAGACAGAGAGAGAAAGAAGGTGGGGGGGCGGAGAAGAAGTAGGGAGGAAAAGAAAATGAAGAGGAAAAGGAACAGGAACAGGTAGAGGAGGAGGAACAGGTGGAAGAGAAAGAGAAGAAGAAAAAGGAGAAGGAGGAGAAAAAGGAGGAAGGGGAGGGGGAGAGGGAGAAGAAGAAAGAGAAAGAGGAGAAGGAGGAGAAAGAGAGAAGAAAAAGAAGAAATTTTCTTTTTAAAGTGAAATAGCACCTTTCCCCACTACCTAGGGTTTCCTATGTCATGCCAAAGCACCAAGCCCCAGAATACATGTGGCTTACCAGAAGTGACCTAGGGTCCTAAAAATGGGAGGGAACTATTAATTTGCTGCCATTGCGTGTGCGCGAAACACACACACACACACACACACACACACACACACACACACACACACACACACCCCATGTTAGTGTAACAGGGCTTACCTGGTGATACCCAGATCATCTGACATGGAGACACTCTGTGTCCCCTACCACATAGGTGAGAGCAGCTTCCTTTGCCCACTGAGCCAGAAAGGCTTTAGCTGTGTCTTTAGAGCTAGCTGAACTGAGACAAGCACTCTTTTACTTTTTCCTGCTCGCTCTTTTGTCCTCTTTCCGGTTTTGTCCAAAGGGTGAAGATCACAGTTCACCCACAGCACTGGTGTCGTGAACTGAATCTACGAAAGAGGAAGGAATTCTAACCCAGCTCTTCCTCTCTTTTACCCTGACTCCAAGAAATGGGCCCAGGGATGTTTCTATTGTTTCATTTGTCTTCATTTTTAAGTGCCAAGTAGCAATTCCCACAGCCACTTGACCCAAGAGTTCTAGTCATGGTGACCTTGGAGCCAGATTTCCAGGTGGAATGTTACAGATAGCCAGGCTGTCTGGCAGAGAAGGTTGGAGAAACCAGGGTGCCTGGGACTTGAGCCCAAGGAGGAGGGTTTCCGCCGTGGAACTTGGGACTGTGCTCTATAGGAACTGAGCTAAGCTTACGAACTTTCCCCTCTCCAAAGACTGAGGTGGTGCAAGGGAGGGAAAGGGATGAAATACTATCTGTTGGGGGAAGAAGTTTGCATATTTGTGATTATATATTTTGGAGTAAATATTTCCTCGTAAAAGCTAATCTGATTGTTAGTAGCTGAATCGAACTGGGGTTTAGGGGACCTATCCTGGCATTTTAAGAAACATCATCAGTGGGGGCAAAACTCAATGGCAGAGAATTTAGACACTCCCCCCCCCAATCTCCCTTAAGGGTACAAGAGAGCCCTGGAGGAGGGGTGAAATCTAACATACCTAGCCTTCCAGGCAGTGAGGATCAGGATAATAAATGTTACATTTAGAATAGTAACAAAACTTATATTACTTTGATAATCCAGAGAATATTTTTCCACCTTTAGTCAAAGCATAATAAAAATTATCAGGTTCAAACACTTGTTTCAACATATTATCACAAAACAACCATGTTTATCATTCTTGTTCAGATGGGGTAGGACCAAATATAACATATTTGTCCAAGGCAGATAGTTTCCATATCCGTTCTTCTTTAGTAGACTAGTCAAGTGATTACTAATCAGGTCTTTGCTTTCTTCAACATTCTCTTCTTCATGAGGCCATTATGCACCCCGCTGCCTGCTGCTGTCCCCAGTCTGGGAGACATTGAGTTCCTGTGTTCAGCTCTCTCTAGTACCACAGTTTCCTCTTTTTGCCCTACCACTGCATATAGACCCTTCCTCCCTCTTTTCACCTCTTTCTGTGAAAACTGTCATCAAATCCATACTAACACAGTCTCTGGAATCATGGAAGCAACGGAACCAATTCTCTGGAACCAAACAAATTAATTATGCCCTTTGTGACTTTCCAGACCATAAATCCCTTCCCAGTCACCCAACTCTTCAAGAAATGTCATCTCCCAGGTTAGAATATAAGTTGTTTGAGGGCAGTAATTGTTTCACCTTTGTATTTATAATCCTAGCACCCTGCTTGGAACATAGTAAGTATTTAATAGGTGTTTTTTATTCACTCGTTCATTCTATTTCATTTGAAGGGCTGGGTTTTTTTTTAATTGAGAAAAATTAAAAAGACACTACTTTGTGAATTTATTATTCATAGCATGAACTTTTTATCTTTCCAGATCAGAGTATGAATTTGTGGATTTTACATTAATTTATTTAGAGTATTCAGTTTTTGAAAAAATGTAGCAAGTATTGATTACATCTCCCCCTCAACCCCCTGAGGGGTGGGGGTGCCTCTTCTCTAATGCTATCAGCTTGAGTGCCCAGTCTGGTACATTCTTCCCACTGTGACCACTAGTGACTAGCTATCTAGTTGTATTTAACCAGTTAACTAAAAAAGGATATTTACTTCAAAGATACAGCAAGAACAGAAGTGCAAACATTTTACCACTTTGAGGACACATTCTCCCTTATACCACCTCAGACCCTGTGGAGAGTGGACCCAGATCTTTTTTTTTTTTTGGCAAGGCAATTGGGGTTAAGTGATTTGCCCACGGTCACAAAGCTCATATGTCTTGAGTCCGAATTTGAACTCAGGTCCTCCTGACTCCAGGTCCAGTGCTCTATCCACTGCGCCACCTAGCTGCCCCCCAGATCTATTTCTACACGGCATTGGTCTTACCAAATTCAGGTACAAATCTGGTTGGAAGAGTCCTTGTCTTGGCTACTGCTAGACAGGGTCACAATGGTCTCCACTCAGCATGTTTTCCAATCCCAGACTGCCTAATGGCTTGTTCTCCTGACTTGTTGAAACTCCCCAGTGAGGCACTGAACCAGCAACTGTATTTTTTGTTTGTTTTTGCTTTTTTTTTTCTTTTAGGCAATTGGGGTTAAGTGACTTGCCCAGGGTCACACAGCTAGTAAGTGTCAAGTGTTTGGTCTGAGGCCGGATTTGAACTCAGGTCCTCCTGACTTCAGGGCCTGTGTACTCTATCTACTTCACCACCTCGCTGCCCCAACCAACAACTATATTTATGGACCATAGGTTGATCTCTGAGGGGGAGGGCCCAAGACCTCTTCCCTCAGAGCATTGTGTTTTCTCATAGGAATTGTCAGTTGGGAAGAAGTCAGCCCAAAGCTGGGGTAGTTGGAGGACAGGGGAAGAAGTTCTAGTCAATTAGAGCTTTTTGAATGCCACGTGGGCCCTGACTATATAGCCAATCGAAGAGACTCCATTTCAGCAACTGGTTGTTAGCTGCCTGTGCCTACAGCTGCTGTCAAGTTCACATGAGGATTGCATCAGCCAACCACTCTGCTCAAGCTCATAAGGACTGGGCTTATTGGCCAGTTCCTCATTATAAAAATATACATCAAAAACAAATGTTTCAGAGGAAATTTTTTGTTATAAAATGAATTTGTTCCTTTTCATTATTATCACAAAAAAGTGATGATTCCTTCTTTTAACTCAAACTGTTTTTGAAGTACTTTGGCATGAGAATGTCAGTGTTTCTTCTAACAATATAGAAGTGCCCTATGCTCTGGCTCCCATATTGTCACACAATTTTGCAAAAAGCCTTCCTTTTTTTTCCACTCAGTTTTATTTATTTTTTATTCTGGACATAACACACACACACACAAATAAGCATTTCTATACACACAGCAGAACACTAAAAAGAGGAAGAAATGTGAAACTGCGGATCTCTATTTCATATCTGTTGCCTTAAAAAAAAGTATGTAATAAATTCCCCATTACTTTCAACACTGTTCTGCTCATCTGCACTGTCTTCTGAAGTGCTTTCTGTTCTCTTCTGTGCATTAAAAAATGTTTCACTAGCTCTTTTGGGGATCTTTATAGCCAATTTCTCTTTTCCCACCCCTCCAATTAAAAATTAAAAGAAAAAAAAAACCTTGTGACAAAAAATTATACACGCACACACACACACACACACACACACACACCCAGATTTGAACTCAAGTCCACCTGAATCCAGGGCCCATGCTTTATCCACTGCACCACCTAGCTGCCCCCAAGTCCAGTATTCTATCCACTGAGCCACCTAGCTGCCCCTGCTTGGCACATAGTAAGGACTTAATAAATTCTTGTTGACTTGTATACCTTTCTGTTTTCACTCTTAAAACCCTCAGAACCAATCCACCTCCATTTCCTCTGTTTTTCTTATTTAACTCCCTCAACACCTTTTGAGGTATGTATTGAGTTTCTGAAGGAAAAATGTTCCTTCTTCTATTGAAAGTCTTCTATTGAAAAGCCTTGAAAAGACAATTCCAAAGGACTCATAATTTAAAAAAAAATGCTATCCACTTCCAGAGAGAGAACTGATGAACTGAATGCAAATTTTTTTCACTTTGAGTAAAGTATAATTTCTTGCTTTATTTTTCTTGCTTTTTTTGAAAATAGAGCTAATATGGAAATATGTTTTGCTTGATTTCACACATATAATTGATATCATATTGCTTGCCTTTTCAATGGATGGGGGAAGGGTGAGACGGAGGGACAGAATTTGAAATTCAAAATTTCAAAAGAAAAGAATGCTAAAAATAAATTAACAATGAATTCGGAAAACATTTTAAAGAAATAAATATTTGTTGAATGTTTAAAAAAAGTATTGAAAGTCTTCTATTCCTTCAAATGGTTTTTTTTTTTAGTTTGGTTTTGTGTGTGTGTGTGTGTGTGTGTGTGTGTGTGTGTGTGTGTGTGTTCGTGTTTTTTGTTTTTTGTTTTCCCGCCGTGTAGGATTACATTCAACTTGCAGGGCAAACAAATCATTGTTGGTTGTAAGCTTGTATCTTTTGCCTTTTGGAATACTGTATTACAAGATCTCTTCTCTTTTATAGCAGAAGCTGCAACATCTTATGTGATCCTAACTGTTGTCTCTTGGTACTTGAACTCCTTTCTGGCTGCTTATAGCACTTTTTCTTTGATGTAGAAGCTCTAGATATTGGCTAGGACATTGCTTTTGAGGTTTTTTTACAAGAAGTTCTCGGTAGAGTCTACCTTAACTTTGCCCTCCAGTTCTAACAGATCTTGGCAGTTTTCATGTCTAATTTCTTGAAATGTAGTATTCAGGCTGGGTTTTTTTTTCTTAATCATGGTTTTCAGAGAATCCAATGATTTTTAAATTATTTCTCTTTGACTTGTTTTACAGGTCAGTTGTTTTTGACATCAGATATCTTACACTTTATTTTTTTCAGTCTTTTGATTTTGTTCTTATATTTCTTACAGTCTTTTAGGGTCATTGATTTCAATTTGATCTATTCTAGTTTTTGATGGGTCCACTAATTTAGGTAAAGTTTACCACTTTCTGTTCTAAGCTATTTATTCTCTTTCCAATTCTTTCCTCCAGAGCTTTTATTTAATTTTTTTCTTGCTTACTTCATTTCTACCAGATATTCATGTAGTTCTTATGAAAAAGCCATTTTTGGAGTGTCTGCTTGTGGTTGTTATGGAGTTACTTTTTCATTTCAGGTCCGATTTGGGGGCATTTCTAGATCTCCAATAATGTTTTATACTGGTCAGTGTCTTCTTTGTTTTACTCATTTTTCCAGCTTTAGTTACAGAATCTAGACTTTGTACTAGGGCAAGCTTCACACCTTGCTGTGTTTTTGGATAGGATCCTAATCTACTTAATCTTGCCCTGGATTATCCATATCAGTAGAAGTAGTATTTAATATTTCTCCTTGTGAATGAGGCTTTTTATTCCTAGCAATTCCATGAGCAACTTTATAAGGTTAAAGCAATCCTTCTAGTGGCACAGGCATGACTTTTGAAAAAAAAAGTTTGGTTTTGCTTTTTTAAAAAAAATACATAGTTTTCTCTAGGGGGAAAAATTTGTCTTTTCAATGGACACTTTCAAAATATTGTTTAGTTTATTGGTTTTCATGTCTACAGTTAAAACACCCATACAAAGCAAATACAGATGTGTTTCCACTCTATCCCAGTGATAAAAACAATCTCTTGTCTTGTTCAG